GGAGCAAGGGCTGTACATTCCTTTAGGTTGTTAGGTTATCTGTGTCTGCTGCTGCTTCAGGCAACCTGTCCTGCATGACGACAGGGAAGCGACAGAGAGGCCAGTTTATGGATTGTTAAGGTGAAAAGGTCCCAGCTGTGAAACTCTCCTCCTATTCAATTCAATTGCACGTCACAGCACGTCATCTTAAAGAATTTTACAGACATTTCAACCAGATCATCCAGTCAAATTGATTAAAAGTTTTCTATCCAACGCCCCTGTCACACCATGATGATTTAGACAGCGTTTGCCTGACGTATAGACAATCTGGCAAAAAAACAGGCATACATTGGATAAGTTATGGGTTTATTTTATAGTAGTTATGAGTAGGGCTGGGCGATATAGAAAAAAAGCTTATCGATAAAAAAAAATGCATATTGATCGATATCGATAATTATTGAAAAGATTTGAAACCATATTTTATGTGCAGCTCTGCCTGGACATTTTATGATATTGCTAAATGATTTATCTTTAATAAAGAACACAAACACAGACTTCCATTTAAATATTTATTTAACCAACTTTTTTAACCATAACAGAATTGTTTTAAAGAAAAATAACTTAAGAGACCTGGGTTATGTTATTAAATACTGACAAAGAATAAACTAAAGTGACCAGAAAAGTGACCAAAATAAATATAACAAATAAATAAACAAAATACCCTATTTGGGTGGGAATAGTACACCACCAGCTTGTGGTAATTAAAAGATTTTAGGACTAGGCTACCATGTAAACTCCACTCAACAAGAACAAAAACCCAAACAAAAATCTACTCACCCTTTAGCCTAGCATTTCTATGGGGTATTTTTTCTCACCTCTATTCTTCTAGAGGTGCTGCTGGCACCTCGTTATGGTTCAGCTTAGTTTCCTGCTTTAACCTGAGTTATTAATTTGAAGTTGCTGGCCCCTCAGCATTTTTCTCTCAACTGTTAGAACTACGTGCCTCGAACTGAATATATATATATATATTCCCCCCCCCGAAATTCCAGAAGATTCCTCGGAGGAGACCCACGGCGGGGCCTACACAGCTCGTACTCCTGCGGGTGTGAGCGGCTGAGATGATAAAAAAAAGTTGGTTGTGTTATCAGACTTCATTTTCACTGGTTCCCGACACATTTTACAGATGACCGTGGTTTGTTTTTTGTCCGACTTGCCATGACCGAAATACTTCCAATCTGGCGAACTACAAAAACCTTTCTTTGGAACAATTTCCTCCGCCTCTCCTTGCTGCGACATCTTCATGTGCTCTGTGTTGTGGTTTGAGAGGGCGGCGCTTGGTGACGCCATGCCTGGGTCCGCGATTGTGATTGGTTGGGAGGAAGTAGTGACTAGCATAAACGTACATGATAGGCTACAATGAGAAGGAAGGAAAACTGCGTTTCTTTTCGAACTTTTATCGACTCTGTTTTTTTCTATTGCGCCACACGTCTATCGATCGATATATATCGTTATTGAATTATCGCCCAGCCCTAGTTATGAGCACGCTAAAAAAACTCTGGAACACGCCGGCTCACGTGGAGATACGCTGACCTATGTATGCCAGCGTATGCCATACGTGGGGCATAAGTTCCAGGTCAGTTATCTGACCATTGACAGACATTAAGTGAGAGTAACTCATAAGTCATTGTGTCCAGCTTATCCAGAACCTGTGAGTAACTTGTGCATAACTTATGTGGAACTGATCAAGAGCTTATCTCCAAGGCATATCAACGTATCTGACGTGTTCCAGATGAACGCTGAACGTGTTTCCAAAGTACAGCTAGCGTATAATGGAGTATTGGCAGCGTTTTGGTATAAAGGGGGTTGAAGGTGAGTGTGATGGATCCTCCCCGCGTTGAAACACACAACCAACTAACTTCCTAGCAGACATGATGCTGAATCTGCTGCAACTGCAAACTTTCTTTCTGTCTGTCTGTCTTTCTTTCTCTCTCATTAATTCTTTTTTTTTTGCTGGGCGGTAAACAGCAGCTAGATTAATACGGTGATTCGGAAATCTTTTTCTGCATGCTGGGTGCTTCCAGGCGCATCGCTGCTCCCCTCCAGACACCAGCTTGTGACATTTCATTTCATTACCCTGCCCTGCGTTATGCATAAGTTAGGCTGTTGTTGGGCATAAGTTCTGGACTTGTTATGAATATGCTATGTATACGCCCAAAATTTAAAAAATACATAGAAAGTTCAGCGTATGCCAGCGTTTTAGGAGATTCCAGGACATCAGGCATAGGGTGGCTATATCAGCAAGGGCCCTGAGGAAAACCAGTCATTGACTGGAAGGCAATCCCTCACACTAAGTGTAATTGTAGTGACAGTGGAGAGGAAAACTCCTTTTAACAAGAAGAAACCTCCAGGGAACCAGGCTGGGTGTGAGCGGCCATCTGCAGAGGGTGACTGGGGTTCAAGGAGACAGAAGATAGAAGCAGAGATAGAAAAGGTAACTGTCAACCAGCTCCACAGCTCTCATGGCCTCAGATAATGGACTGGTGAAAATTCACAAAGGATCCTACCCTTATTCTAATGGCTCTTGTAATACTGCTCATCAGTGTTTTTGTGTCCATATTAGCCCCATGGGTGATTAATAAGTTTTAGCTTCAGACAATCCCTAATAGCCTTCTGTTTTATTTTATAGAACCCACATGCATTGTTGTTCCTCTCTTCAGGAAACCATTAGGAAATTGATGACTCAGAAAATGTTCTTTCCACACATATGCTAATGTGCAATGATCTTTTATTAGTAAACTCTATGACAGAGCAAAGATAGCAGAGCAACTCAAGCAAAATATGAACTTAAAAATTAATATTAATATGGTTTAACCATCTGATCCCTCCTTTATGCTGAGTTTCTTCATTTGGTTTGGTCAAATTTCTTTTTCTTTGTTTCTGCGGATCATCTTCATTTGGTTTGGTAAAATGTCTTTTTGTTGGGCAGTGAAAGTAAGTATCCTCCTCTTAAGTGATATGGCTAAGTTACTTTGCTGTTCTGTGATGGGAAACCCAGACAAGAGTCCCAAGGTGGGCAAAAACTTCCCTCTTTGAACTTGTCCAGATTGGGATCCTGCATTTCTACACTATATTGCCAAAAGTATTTGCTCACCCATCCAAATTATTGGAATCAGGTGTTCCAATCACTTCCATGGCCACAGGTGTATAAATTCAAGCACCTAGGCATGCAGACTGTTTTTACAAACATTTGTGAAAGAATGGGTCGCTCTCAGGAGCTCAGTGAATTCCAGCGTGGAACTGTGATAGGATGCCACCTGTGCAACAAATCCAGTCGTGAAATTTCCTCGCTCCTAAATATTCCACAGTCAACTGTCAGCTGTATTATAAGAAAATGGAAGTGTTTGGGAACGACAGCAACTCAGCCACGAAGTGGTAGGCCACGTAAACTGACGGAGCGGGGTCAGCGGATGCTGACGCGCATAGTGCGAAGAGGTCGCCAACTTTCTGCAGAGTCAATCACTACAGACCTCCAAACTTCATGTGGCCTTCAGATTAGCTCAAGAACAGTGCGCAGAGAGCTTCATGGAATGGGTTTCCATGGTCGAGCAGCTGCATCCAAGCCATACATCACCAAGTGCAATGCAAAGCGTCGGATGCGGTGGTGTAAAGCACGCCGCCACTGGACTCTAGAGCAGTGGAGACGCGTTCTCTGGAGTGACGAATCGCGCTTCTCCATCTGGCAATCTGATGGACGGGTCTGGGTTTGGCGGTTGCCAGGAGAACGGTACTTGTCTGACTGCATTGTGCCAAGTGTAAAGTTTGGTGGAGGGGGGATTATGGTGTGAGGTTGTTTTTCAGGAGCTGGGCTTGGCCCCTTAGTTCCAGTGAAAGGAACTCTGAATGCTTCAGCATACCAAGACATTTTGGACAATTCCATGCTCCCAACTTTGTGGGAACAGTTTGGAGCTGGCCCCTTCCTCTTCCAACATGACTGTGCACCAGTGCACAAAGCAAGGTCCATAAAGACATGGATGACAGAGTCTGGTGTGGATGAACTTGACTGGCCTGCACAGAGTCCTGACCTCAACCCGATAGAACACCTTTGGGATGAATTAGAGCGGAGACTGAGAGCCAGGCCTTCTCGTCCAACATCAGTGTGCGACCTCACAAATGCGCTTCTGGAAGAATGGTCAAAAATTCCCATAAACACACTCCTAAACCTTGTGGACAGCCTTCCCAGAAGAGTTGAAGCTGTTCTAGCTGCAAAGGGTGGACCGACGTCATATTGAACCCTATGGATTAGGAACGGGATGTCACTTAAGCTCATATGTGAGTCAAGGCAGGTGAGCAAATACTTTTGGCAATATAGTGTATGTAAGGGACTGAAGGTGATGACCTCATCATCCAGGCCTTTCCTGCCTCCAGTACAGTCTACTTATCAACAGCTCAATTCTTCTGGCACTGTGATATTTTTATAACTGTTCTCATTTCATTTTATGTATCAAACTATTTTTACAGGGGAAAAAGTGTAGCCCTGTTGCCCTGCTGATGGCGACATTTCTAGCAAAACATGAGGAAGCTGCTCAATAAGGCTTTATCATTTAGGCCTGTTTTTCTCTTTCTTACCATAATGCTTCTTTTTAATATGATAGAACAGAGAAATTTGTTGAGAAACTCATTTAAAATCAGCTCAGCCTCTGACATTCAGCTGGGGTATGTCTCTTCCAGGCAGAGGTGTACAGGAAGTGCTGCTGAGGGTAGGGTGTCTCATTACTTCCTCATTTGCCAGACAGTCACTGTGGTGTTGGATGGAAATGCTTTACTTTCTTTAATAAATCTTTGTGGGGAAACAAATTTAGGCCAGAATGAACTTCATATCTTCAGGTTGTTTGACAGGATCCGCCCAGTCCTCAAACTCAAGGACAGAGTTTGGTGCTTTTATGTGAGGTGTCCTTTTTTTAACTATCAATAAAAAGTCTTTCTGCTGTTTGTCTTTCAGACCGCCTGCAGGATTCTGTTGGAAAAGAGGAGGATTTCTCTGACCAGCAGCTCTGTGGACAGGAGAGGAATTCCAGTTTGGACCAAGAGGAACCAGAAGCTCTGGAGATAAAAGAAGTGCAGAAAGAACCAGAACATCCCTGGATAAAAGAGGAAACCATGGAGCTCCCCATAGGTGAGCAGGAAGAGAAGCCTGTTCTAAAGCAAGAGATGGAACATACAGGAGAGAAACCTTTCACATGTCTTACATTTGGAGTAAACTTTCTTAAAAAAGAACATTTAATGGTTCACAGAAGAACTCACACAGGTAAGAAGATTTATGAATGTCGGTCCTGTAGAAAAATGTTCTCTAAGAAATCTAGACTTGATAGAAACATTAGAATTCAAAGCCACCTACAAACCTCTTAACACTAGAACTCCCAGAATTCTGATCCTACTAGAACTCCCACTGGCCGTCTAATTAATATATATATATATATATATATATATATATATATATATATATATATATATATATATATATATATATATATATATATATATATATATATATATATATATATATATATATATATATATATTTTTTTTTTTTTTTTAAGGCAGTATAATTATTATTATTTCTGAATCTAAATTTGTATTAAAAATAAATCGGTAAAATAAATGTTACCACACAGGTTCGAAGCTTAAAATTACAATTTTATTTACAGAAATTGATTACCTCTGACCACCTTTTCACATTTGTGAACGACATCATATGAGCAGTTTTTTGTGCAGCACTGAAGCACATGGCGCTGTTTTCTTTGCCTCCCAAAAGCTGCTTTTTAGCGGCAGAGGGGTTGGTAACTTCGGGACGCATGTGGTTTGCACGCCAACCTCTATGTGATTATAGTAGCTCACAGGCTCTGGTTTGGCATTTGGGCCGCTGAGTGGACCAGCTGAGGTGTGGGGAGTGCTATCCAAACCGTGAACAAAAGTTTCACTATTGTCTGATGGGTCACTGATTGGTCTGCGTTTTCCCCTGGGTGGGTGATCATCCTCAGACTCGCTGTTAGAATCTGAGACGCATCCTACCCAGTCCTCCTCATCAGTCTCTCCCTGTCCACCCGAATAGCTATCATCAATATTTTGAAGCATTTCTAAAGCTCTAGGTAGAATGTTGGTTGCTAGGCAACTATCCGAATGTCAATCGACTGTGGGAAAAATGAAGAATGCAACTAATAGAGTCGTCAAAGTGACGGCTGTCGGAGATCAAGGTAGAATTAACCACATTTATTTTTTACGTTTTTATTCTATAAAACAAACTTAGGGAAAATGAAGGAAATATAGAAACAAGAAAAGTCAGTTAAAGGAATAGTACACCCAAAACATGATTAGCCTTCATTTTCTACTCACCCCCATGCTGAACAACACTCTGGAGTACTTTTTTGATATCTCAAATGCATCTGGAGATCTGGGAGGCTTCTTGCTGTCTGCTGACATTCAAATAATGGAGGTCTATGGCGCCCGAGGCAGAAAGGTCCATAAAAGTCCACAAAAAACGTGTCAATATTCCTCCATACTGCTCGTCCAATGTATTCCAAGTGTCCTGAGTGGGTAGCGTCCATAATTTACTCGAAACAAAGTCATTTAGAATGTTTTTAGAGCATAAACAGTAGTGTATAGGATTTCCTAAAAGCGCGTTCACGAGTCTACGGAAACCGCGGCAGACCAAACCGGATGAAAGTGCGCATTCAGCGTCTGCTCTGCCGATAATGCAAGCGTAGAAGAAGAAATGTGCTCTTTACCTGTGTAAAGAAAGAAACAACGAAAGAAAAATGTCTGAGGACTTCAGTGTTGAGGAAGAGCATGAGTTCTTTGCCGAGCTGAATGCGCACTTTCATCTGGTTTGGTCTGCCGCGGTTTCCGTAGACTCGTGAACGCGCTTTTAGGAAATCCTATACACTACTGTTTATGCTCTAAAAACATTCTAAATGACTTCGTTTCGAGTAAATTATGGACGCTACCCACTCAGGACACTTGGAATACATTGGACGAGCAGTATGGAGGAATATTGACACGTTTTCTGTGGACTTTTATGGACCTTTCTGAATGTCAGCAGACAGCAAGAAGCCTCCCAGATCTCCAGATGCATTTGAGATATCAAAAAAGTACTCCAGAGTGTTGTTCAGCATGGGGGTGAGTAGAAAATGAAGGCTAATCATGTTTTGGGTGTACTATTCCTTTAACGTGATCAACATATGATTAATGTAAATAAAGTTCTTTCCCTTTAAAATCTCAGAACCCTCAAAATGACAGCTTTGGGAGTTCTAGCATTAAAAGCATTATTGCGTTATCCTTTGTCAGCATCATATTCTCTATCTTTCATTTTCATTAAAAAAAGTCTCCACGGCCTCCTTCACTAACAGTGGTCAATTCATGACACTTAATCATCAATGTGCAAGAGCTTAGAGCGCCACAGGTGAGGCTATTCTCAGCAGTAATGCCCTTCTTCTCATAACAGCGGCTCAGCAAAAGGCTAAAGGGCTATTCCACTTCTTTTCTTACAATCTTAAGTGTTGTTAATCTGCTCTTCTTTAAAAACTATGCAAACAGACGCTTCAGACCTGGTTTATATTATTCCAGGATAAAAGCAGAATTTTTAAAACTCCCTTTTGGTTTTGTGAAACTTTTTTCTCCCATGTGAAACTTCAATAATAAGTCCTGGAATGGCTTTTTTTCCTTTCTTTTTTTTTGCTTCTTGGCCACATATTTAACTTGGCATAAGCCAGATTGACACATTCTTTTCTGTTCCTACACCGTATCAATGTAGGTATCGTTCTGTAGAGCGTGTTGGCAAAAAGGAGGGACATTCAGTACAATTGGTCATACACGTCACTGCATTTCAAATAGTTTAAACGGAACAATTGGCTTTATCATTATTCTATTATCATCATGTATGATATCTAAATGCTTTAGACTTAAGGTGTATCACAGTGAGGCTGCAGAGTTGTTTCACCACAGACTGAGTCCTCAAATAGGAGGAGCTTGAGCTGCATGAATCTTTGTCATGAGAATAACAAAAAGTTTGTCACAGGAATGTAGTGTGGATTAGTTTTTACTCTAGGCTTCAGAGAGAAGTAGTAATAAACTGGGGAGGGAAAAGATTGAACTTGTGTTTTGTGATTGAAGTCAACATTTCTTTTGCAGAAAAATGTGATGGAAAATGTCATCTATGTAAACTTCACCCTGTTTTTCTTAGATGTTTTGCATTACCCATATTGTGTCTTTAGAAGAGGTGCATTGTCTTTTTACCATCTTTTTTAATCTGTCTCTACTTATTGTGTCTAAGGAGTTGGAGTCAGAGAAGGTTTACAATCTAGCTCTGCACTGAGGTTACTGAAGGCAGAATGCTAGATAAAGAGTTGGATCGGACCAGAAAGGGATGGAGCTCTGACTTTCTGGAGAGCACCTCACTTTTATTTTGGCCTTCTGTGATAAATGTGTGTGCATACCCTTGTTTGGTGCTTATCCGTAGGGTCACATTGGAGCTGGTGCCTTTTTTCCAGCAGTTTCTGGGCAAATAACGCAATAAAACCTGGACAGTTCAGCAAAAAAATCTAAAAAAAACGTTTAAAGCTTTGATGATAAAAGGGGAGGTCTTCACCTTGCCAGGTGGCAGAGCATTAACCAGTTTGTTATAACCTGTGATTGTGGTGTCAGAGCTGCAGTGCATGCTGGGAGATGTAATTCCAGTCTATTTGTATGTAGTTAGATCAACACAAAGATGATTAAAGTGAATTGTCCTTTCTTTAACCCACAATAGAAAGTCTTTCTGCTGTGTTTGTCTTTCAGACTGCCTGCAGGATTCTGTTGGAAAAGAGGAGGATTTCTCTGACCAGCAGCTCTGTGCACAGGAGAGGAATTCCAGTTTGGACCAAGAGGAACCAGAAGCTCTGCAAATGAAAGAGGAGCAGCAATCGCCTGAACATCCCTGGACAAAAGAGGAAACCATGGAGGTCCCCATAAGTGAGAGTGAAGAGCATCTTGTTCTGAAGCAGCAGACTGAAGATACAGGAGAGAAACCATTATCATGTTTGACAAGTGGAGAAAAGTTTCTAAAAACAGAAAATTGTATTGTTCACATGAGGTCTCACACAGGTCAGAAGGTTTATGAATGTCTGTCCTGTGGGAAAATGTCAACAACCAAATATAGAATTGATAGACACATGAAAATTCACACAGGTGAGAAGCCTTTTTCCTGTACTATTTGTAAGAAGAATATTACCGGAAAAAGTAATTTGACAAAACACATGAGAATTCATAAAGGTGAGAAGCCTTATGAATGTCTGTCCTGTGGAAAAAGCTTTGCTCAGAAATCTAATTTTGATGCACACATCAGAACTCACACAGGTGAGAAACCTTTTTCTTGTACCATTTGTAACAAGGATTTTGCTGAAAAGGGTCAATTGACTAAACACATGAGAATTCACACAGGTGAGAAGCCTTATGAATGTCTGTCCTGTGGAAAAAGCTTTACTCAGATATCTAGTCTTAATTCTCACATCAGAACTCACACAGATGAGAAGCCTTTTTCCTGCACGATTTGTGAAAAAAGTTTTACTCTAAAAAGTTATTTGACTAAACACATGAGAAATCACACAGGTGAGAAGCCTTTTGAATGTATGTTCTGTGGAAAAAGCTTCAGTCAGAAATCTCATCTTGATACACACACCAGAATTCATACAGGTGAGAAGCCTTTTTCCTGCACCATTTGTAACAAGAATTTTACTGACAAGAGTCATTTGAATTATCACATGAGAATTCATACATGTTAGAAGCTGTTCCCATCAATTATTTGTGACAAAGGTTTTAAACCAGAACGTCATTTGAGTATGCATTGATTTATTCATTCATGATGAATTGTTTCTATTTTTAAGAAAACATTAGTTCCACATAAGTCAGAGCAGTTAGACGCCACAGGAATGAACAGTAGAGGCTTTTTCCATGTTTAATTGGTGATAAAATCTAGAAACTCCTTCACCTCATTTTACATGAGAAACTCACAGGTTAATGGTCATTTTGAAGCAAAGTTTTGAGAAAGCCATTAATTTACAGCTCTGTTTCCATAGAAACTAGAACAGATAAGGTGTTATAATGTAAACTTGGTAAATATTCAGGTCTTAGGTGAATATGTGGATGTGAACATTTGATAGTTAATATTTTTGGCCTGAGTAAATTAGATTTAAATGGCCAAAAAAAGATTGTTTCCCTAACAGAAAAAAGATGTTTAGATTCACAATTTCATCCATTTTCTGTAATGAAGGGAATAAACATAATAAAGTACAATACAATCTTGGTTAGAGAAAAAGCAAGTATGCTGCCAATACAACAAGCAATTGAGAAGTTCTAGATGTTTAAATTGAAACAAATCCAGACTGACCCCTACTGTGCCATTTTGGCATGGTGTGGCACAACGTTTTCTGAAAGAATTTATTCAGAAAAAGCTAAAAAAAGTTTTATTTTTGGGAATTAGAAACTTTTAGCTGAATGAAAGCTATTGGTCTGATATATTCCAGAAACAGACTTTCATTCAGATGAAAATATCCTGAGATGAAAATAAAAGCAAAGGTAGGACAGATTTAATGTGCTTCGCTCAGTTTTGCTGATGTTGTTGGAGGATTTTTTAAGAGTTCAGCTGCAAATGATCAGAGTTTAGTTAATTCAGTGTCTTGTAGGCTTTCATTAGCAATGCATCAATCAGCGCTGCTACGTGTGTTGTTGAACCCAGGCCCACCAAAACTCCAACTTTTTGGGCAAAGTGTTAGAGCTATGGTCAGTGGATATTAGAATGAAGTAGATCATCTATAGAGGAGTCTCACATGAAGATTTGGGACATATATGAGTGTGTGTCAGTCTCAGAGTTAGTCAGCTACAAGCTAGTTAATGTTGCAAAGTAGCTCCAGCCACCTTGAAAGGGGGCGCTCAGGATTATGGGGTTAAACTACGGGACATCAAAGAACTCAGTTTAGAGGCTGGAGTCTGTAGTTCAGGTAAATTGAAGTCTTAAAATGATGAAACATGTTTGTTTAAAAAGATAAACTAGATTCATGATGTTGCTGTTATTTTTACTGATCAGTTTGAACCTGCTTTAACTTGATAAAACACCTTTGTCTTAATAATGTATTAAAGAAATCGGACACTTTGCTAGAAGTGTGAAGTTTCTCCTTTTAAAGATTTTTTGAAAGTATCATTTTCCTTTGAACTAATTCTAATAGTTTTGATCTTGATTCTGTAGATGTTCTATTTACCTGCTATGATTGAAAGTAACTATTGCCTATTTTATACAACTGGTTTAATGTATTATATTCTGCTGTGGATGTTTTTATTTATTGTAATCACTTCTAAATTGATGAATGAGCAACAATAAAAATCTCATGGATTGTAAATATTTGCTTCTTTATTGTTTTGTATAAATAACAATCATTTCCCATGTTTTCTCTGATATTTTCAGACAAACTAAAGCTGTAAAATAAATAGTTTAAAAGCATTCACCTTCTGTCTTCTCCAGTCTTTCTTGTTGCTCCTCCGTCAGCATGAATCTTTTTAGCTTTTTAGAGCCTGAGTGGGTTCAAATCTGGCCATTGGATAAATCATCCTTTCCTTGTTGGAGAACTTAGATCAGGAAATAATGTAGGTATGTATTCTGGCCCAGTTGGTTTGGCTCCTGATAAAACAAGTGTCTCAGTTGCTATAACTGTGTGTCCAGTGTTGCTGCAACCAAGCAACCAGAGGAATGAATGATCTAACTATGGCTATGTTCACAGTGCAGCCTGCAGTGAACCAAATCAGAGTTTTTTATTTCTTAAAAATCATTAGGAAATGCTGAAACTAAAGTGCAGCCTCACAGATGAAGTCCAGAAAACATTTGGAGTCCAGTGGGACGCTGAGTGCAGCGTGTGCAAAGCTGGCTCATTGGTTTCAGTGTCTAATAAAGGTGCTGGAGATCTCAAAGCTCACATGGACACTGAAAACCCTGAAAGAGGTGAGAGTTATTCTGCAGAGTTCACTGAGTACTTTGTTAGACCTGGGAACATTAGGTAAAGCTGTACTTTCTAATAGAGAAGAGGTCATATTTAGAACATTATTTAATTTTATGTATTTTAAAAGAGCTATGATTTTTTTTTCACTGGTTGTTACAGATTTCGTTTTACTACAAAGGTTATTTTTGTACCATTTAGGTATAATAAAGCTGTTCATCAACCTTTTAGAAGCCTGTCTGAATCCATCTGGAGGCTGAGCACAGTGTCCTCTCTTTAGGAAATCTAAATATGCTCACCCTGATATATATACCTATTCTAAAAGAATTAGTTCTGTAGTTCCCATTTTTAAGCCAATTGATGTTTGCAGGAGCTGTTTTGAAATAGACTACAGAGGGACGGCAGCAGTTTATGTTACTTCATGTTTTTGAACTTTATTAGGGAGATTAACTGAGACTCATGATGTGTTTTTAGGCACAAGACACTACAATTAGGAGATAAAGGCTTGGCTCTTTATCTAAATGAAATAATGCAAGACATTTTATGTTTGACCTCCTCTGCCATAAAACATGAGCATTTTTACATAAAATAATTAGATTTCATATAATTCGATCTTGTTCCAATGAAACTTTGCTTTAACTCCCATGTCCCCTTTTCTATGTTCTTCTGAAATCAATTTATAATTATATTAAAAAACAGAACTAATTCAGTTTTAATTTACTTATAAATAGTATTTTGTTTAGTTTAAAGTACTTTAAGAATGAAATTAATAAAAACCCAAACTGAATCAGCAGAGATATCTAGAAGATGGTCCAATGGGTCTAATCAGAAAGAACCAGAACAAGATGCAGACAGCAGTTAGTGGGCGGAGCCAAGATACCTGGACAGTTTGGAGGAACATCATCATTAAATGCTGACTGAGACAGCATCTCCTCCCATCAGTAACGGGATCAGAACCAGGATAGATATCCTGATCAAATCAAAGGGTTGATGTTTATTAATAAAACATTTTTCATCAAAACATCTTCCTCATCCATCAGAACACCAGCAGGGGGCAGTCTGCGCTCAGAGGAGGCAGGCCACAGATTGGGTCAGGATGTTGTGGTGGTTCTAGTTGTATAACCTGGAGCTTCCTGTTTGATGAAGAACCTCCTGGAACCTCCAGATTCTACCCTGAACCTCAGCTGATTTTTTTTCTCCAGTTTCAACCTTAATGGTTTAAACCTGAACGATGGAACTGAATCCCATTGATCCTCATTCACACAGTAACACAGCTAGAAATGATGGAAACAGCCTCAGGTGGATGGAAACTAAATGGTCCTCTGTTTAGGTCTGGAGATGATGGTCTGTCTTTTTGCTGAGGAGAATCAAATCTATGCATCTTCTCAAAGGGACACTTTCAGTCTGACTGACTAAAAGGAGGAAAATCAGCGATTCATTCTGAACAAGTCAGAGCTAAAGAATAATCAGGTGGACAAGGTGTAGATAATCACACACACGTCTAAAGGTGCAAAGATGGCAGCCTTGACACTCCTGGATGAGTCAGTGGAAGAAAGGGGTGGTCTGAACCAGAAAGCTGGTTTAGATGTTACAGAGGGACACTAAGGACCCGTGGGTCTCTGGTCCAGTTCCACATTTAACCAGTGGAGGTAACCTAAAAGTTTAATTGGGGCGGCAGGTGAAAACTAATAGGCAGTGAAACTAGCACCTATTAAACCAACAGATTTTCATGAGGCTCTTACTAATAAAGCTACGTACATATTAATACATCAGTGCTGTTTAAATTAATCTATGGTTCTACATAAAAAACAATAAATGGATAAACTGTTGTTCTTTATCTTTAATTACTTGGAAGATGACTGCAGAGACAAACTCTACAACATCAAACATAAAAACTGACTCTTAAAAGAGCCTGAATTATGGATTTGACACCTAATAGAAATATATTCTAAATAATGAATTTAGGTGTTTCTCAGTTTTTGCTTATAAACTAACTTTAAAATGTCAAAGTAGGAAACTCCACATTATGGTATCAGTGCTGCCACCTTCTGGTTCAGAGGAGAACTGCTTGTTCAAGATGGGTATTGGTAAAGGGGGGGGGGGGGTGTTGGAGAGATAGTCTTTAATAGTTGGAACCATTATAAATTCTTTTGGTTAATTTTTGGGACAAATGCCTGAATGGCTTCTAACATTCAGTGTCGCCTCCTTCACATATTTGCTTGGTGATGCCCCTTATAGAAACATGGCATCAGTTTTTCCTAATAATGATTTAAAACATTCAAACAATCAGCATGAAGCAATAATTAAGCTCAATGCAGCAGCAGACAGAACCTTTTTAGAACCAAATGGAGCCGACAGACTTTTTATTTTCAGTAGGTTTCTTCAGGGAGTCTCTGATGTCAATCAGTTGTTGGTTGGCTGTAATAAATCTCTGAGGAGTGTCGACTACAGTCTCTCTCTGACAGCATTGTTGCCAAGGTTACCGGGTACTGGGTGTTTCAACTAGCTAACATATTACTAGGCAGGCTATGGGCATTCGCAGCAGTTCTTCCTTGATGTGGGTCTCTGTTTTCTATGTTATCCAGTCAGACCTGATGTTCCTCCTCCACTGTAAGAGGGACGGTCACTTTGCTGCAGGGTGGAAGGGCAACTAGACATGTTTAAAATGTGGAGAAAATGTTCAGGATAAATGTTGGAGCTGTGGAGGGAAACACAGAGCAACATGTGGAGGCTGTGAGTTCAGGAAGAGAGCAGTGGACGTTCAAAAAGTGAAGCTGAGGCATTAAAGAAAGTTCAGGAAGAACAGAAGAAGACTGTTGGTAGCAGTGAAGCATTGAGACAAAGATCAGAGCAGATTAGTAGGATCTGGAACCCTACAGAGTTTGAAAAAATGGTTGTGTTTATTGTGTTTGTCATCAACTGTACAGAGCAGGTTAAACATGAGGCTGAACAGATTGAGATGATTGTAAAAGGAGCTGAACAATTCTCAGAGATGAGGAAGATTTCTGGGGCTCAGATGAAACCAAAGCTTGAGGCAGATGGCAGACAGGCAGTTACAGGTGACTGAGCAGCGCGTTATTGCTGCAAAGGAAGGTTGATAGCAAATGATCAGGAGATAAAATTATTCATACACTGAAAAAAGAACAACTCATAAGATTTACTTCAAAATTATATTGTACGTAACATTTTGAACACAAATTATTTAAGTCTAATTTAATGCTGCAAGATCGTGTCACACCAGTATAAAGTGAATTTGACTTTACATAAAACATAACAGTTGTGAAGATATTAATATTTACTTAATTTTATCCAAGTTGAATCTTTATGCATGAAAGCTGTGAGGAAATTTTAGATCACTTTAGTATTTGCACCTGCGATGGACTGGTGACCTGTCCAGGGTGGAACCCGCCTCTCGCCCGTAGACAGCTGGAGATAGGCACCAGCCCCCCTCATGACCCCATTTGGGATTAAGCGTGTCTGAAAATGGATGGATGGATAGTATTTGCACACCACTCACAAAAATTAGGTAACCATTGCCAGTTCTCTTGAACTAAATAAAACAATACTCTGTGCTTTTAATATATATCAAGTGGTTTATTTATTTATTTTTTTTTTTTTTTAGCCATAGATTTTACGTTCTAAATGTAGCAGTGCCTAAAAACATTCATCTATCTTCTGGACACATGCCAGTCTGTCACAGGGCAACACAGAGACACACAACCATAAACACACACCTAAGGACAAGCCATGTTTTTGGATTGTGAGAGAACATACCCTGCACCAGAAGAACATGCAAACTCCATGCAGAAAGACCCTGGACTGGGAATCAAACCCAGAACCTTTTTGCTGCAAAGCAACAGTGCTACAAACTGTGTTACCATGCAGCCCACTTTTCAGACATAAAGCAGAGGACTAACAATCCTCTGAAACACAGTTTCAACATTGATTACAGAAATATCAAACACAGATGTTTAAGATTGAGAACGTTAAACTTTGACAAATATATTCAGAATAATATCTGAAGGAAGATCAGGAACAGACACTTAAAACTTTGAGCAGTGGGGAAAGATTATGCACACCTACAGTGAGGATAATAAGTATTTAAACAACCTGCTATTTTCTTCTTCCCAAATCATGGAGAGGTCTGAAATTATCATCGTAGATGCATGTCCGATGTGAGAGATACATAGTAAAAATACAGAAATCACAATATATGATTTTTTTAACAAATTATTTGTGATAAAACTGCAAATAAGTATTTGAACAGAGGAAGAGACCCCAGAACATCCAGATCCATCAATACAGATATTACAGTAGAACAATCAGAGCCCAGAGAAGTTTAGATTTTCATTTGGAGAAATATTTCTGTGTCAGAAGAATGAAAGAAAAATCAGCAGCAAAATCCTTCATGGCTCCTGGAACACAGACACAGAAAATTACATTTAAACAGAGAAAGAAAGAAGAAGAGAGCAGCAAAGCACAGGCACCGGAACCAGGAACCCTGATCAACAATCAGAACCAACAAACTGGATCTATTTAGGTTTACAGAACTCTGCAGATGATCCAGTGATACAAACCCAAACTCCAGCATGTAGCGGCTGAGTGAATGTGGTCTGGACTCTGTGGAGGAGAGTTCTGGTTTCAGAGATGCTGTAGAAGGACAGAACACCTGCTCTGTGATCCAGGTCCACTCCTACTCTCGAAGAACCAGGACCTGAGATGGAGGTCCAGATGTTGTTGTGACCAAATTCATAACCACCTTGGAAGCAATTTAATGCCCAAGATTTTTCATTATGTCCAAATCCACATTCATCCCCTCTTCCTGTTCTGTTGATATTCTTGTATGCTACTGCTACACGAACCCACCCCCTCCACTCCACCTCCCAGTAACGACGTCCAGTCAGACTCTCTCTACTCAGAACCTGAGGCCAATCAGTGAATCTGTCTGGAAGACTAGAATAAGACTGGGGTTGATCCATCAGTGTCACCTTCCTGTTTCCCTCTGATAGTATCAGTCGACTGTGTGCTGTGTTTGGATCCAATGCGATCTGACATGAATATCCCAAGAAACCAGCTCTGCTCTCTGGTTCTGCCTCAGCCAGGGTCAGTGAGATCTTTGTCCATGTGTCTCTCAGGATGTCCTGTAGTTTGACTCTGAGCTCTGACACAGCTGCTGTCACATCCTCCCAGCGTCTCAGAGGACGGATGTCGATGCCGGCTGAGGGTGTAGACTCCCTGAGGTCTGACAATGAGGGGTAGCTGTGAAGAAACTGCTTGTGATCCTCTATGTCTGAAAGCTGCTCTAGCTCAGCATCTTTCCTTTTTAGCTCCCTGATCTCCTGCTCCAGCTTCTGCTGAAGCTCTTTGACTCGACTGACTTCAGCTTCCTGCTGGGATCTGATCTGCTGCTTCACATCAGAGCTTCTTTTCTGGAAGAGGCCGATAAGCTCAGTGAAGATCTTCTCACTGTCCTCCAGTGTTTTTTCAGCAGAGTGATTGATGTCCTCCACCTCCTGCTGAAGCAGCTTCACATCTTTCTCTCTGTCCTGGACTCTCTGCTGGATTATTCCTCGTCTTTCCTGCAGCTTGCTCTGCCTCTCAGTCCTTTCTGCTGAAGCTGAGACTGTGTCGTGTCCTTTATGTTCCTCCACAGAGCAGAGGTAACAGATAGACTTCTGATCAGTACGGCAGAACATCTTCATCACCCCATCATGAAAAGAGCAGATGTTCTCCTGGAGGTTCTTGGAGGGCTCCACCAGCGTGTGTTTCCTGAATGGAGCGGAATTCTTATGAGGCTGAAGGTGTTTTTCACAATTAGAGGTCAGACAGACTAAACAGGACTTGATGGCTTTCAGTTTCCTTCCAGTGCAGACATCACAGGCCACATCCTCAGCTCCAGCATAGCATTGGTCTGCAGGAGCAGCTTGGAGTCCAGTCTTCTTCAGCTACTCCATTAAAGCTGCTAACATTGTGCTCTTCTGCAGGTCAGGCCTCGGTATAAAGTTTTTCCTGCACTGAGGGCAGCTGTGGATTCCTCTCTGATCCTCCTCATCCCAGTGGCTATTAATACAGTTCATACAGTAGCTGTGTCTACAGGGAATAGTCACTGGATCTTTCAGGAGATCCAGACAGATTGAACAGGAGAAGGTTTTTGCATCCAGCTCATTCTGCTCCATTTCTGCCCTCACAGTGACTGTGTGCTTTTCACTTCCTGAAAACAGAAAAGGGTTTGAGCCCTGGGTTCCATTTAATAAAGCAGAGTTACAAACTCAGACTCAAATCTTCAACTCTGAATTAATCTAGCCTAAGCTGCTGTGGGTTAGTTTGATCAACTCTAAGTAGGTCTACTCAGAATTGAGCACAGGATTAATAACTATCAAAAGCCAGGAGCAGTGGAGCACAGATTTGACGTGTCACCATGACAACAGGCAAAAGGAAGTGCCTAGTTCACCCAAATGGAACCAGTGATATTAATGATAAAGAAACAGTGCTAGAGCTGCAAAGAAGAGGAATATGGCGAAGGAGAAGATTCTTGCTTGAGTTAATGCATAGGTTTATATGAAGCGTCTCTAGCAGGCTGTTTTTAAAAGCACTCTCCTCTCTGTTGTTCCATTTGTAGATCACTAAAATAAGGTTCTTCCTGGTCAAAATCACATTCCTAGTCAGAACCTTAATAATAGATTTTCTAGATTACATTTTTGCAGCAGAAACTGAATTTCAGAAAAAAAAAATACTAAATTACACTGGTAAGAATTAGGTTTCATATATCTAGAAATATTTACACATTAAATGAGCCTGTTTTGACATTTATCACCTTGATTGAATATGTATTTATGATAGGATAATTTTTTCATTCACATAGTAACACACCAAGAAATGAGTGTCCTACTTTGTATTATATTCACTATGAAGAATTTATTCATAGTGAATATAATACAAATGATGATCAGGTATCTGTTTCACAAAGCAGGTTTAACAAATTCAGATTCAAATCTGCAACTCTAAATTGATCTAGCCCCAAGTCGGGAATTCTGAATGTTCGGTTTCACAAGAGCTGTTATCAATTAGTTAAATGAATTTTAACTAGGTGAAGATTATATGCTATGTATAATCTAAAGATGGGCAGCAAATGTACTATTCCTAGATGCTAGGCCAAGCTTGCAGAGGGAGGATGAAATGTGCAGATAGGAAGGTTGAGTGACCTTGCTCTTGCACACAGACAGAAAGAGATGATTTTGTATAAGCAGAAAAACAGGAAACAACTCCATATATCGACACAGAAATCATAGGGAGTATGAATACTGTGTATCTGCTTGTGGGACTGTTTGTGTAGAATTGTAAGATTTCCCTAATAAAGAATAATAAAACGAGCCTGTGCTGGGAGAAGGACAGAGTGTTGCTTGCAGATACTGGCTGCAATTCCTCTCCCTTCGCAAAGGTGAATAAAAGCTGGGCTTTCCCTGTCATTTATTTCACTCCATCTGAAGTTAACCTCCACTCGAATCTCTGGACCCGGGGAAGTGGAGACGGCTTTAAAATAGGTCCACTCAGAGTTATGTGTGTGCACAACAAGTTTGAAAAGCCAATTTCAGTGGAGCACCTGATCAAAATCACACTCCTAGACCTAACTGTAATGATATATTTTCTAAATGACAATTTTGAGGCAGAAACTGAATTTTAGGAAGTCAAAATGACTGAATTATACTAGTAAAAATTAAGCTCTATATATCAAGAAATGTTTACACATTCTAAGTGGCTGTTCTGACATTTATCAACTTGACGGAAAATGTAATTATGATATATAAAAAATTTTTCATAGTTAAAGTAACACAAATGCTGACCAGTAATATTATGTATATGTAGATCTGAAATTTATTTATAGAAATCCAGAATTCTATTCTAGATGTGGAGGATGGCTTTTTGTTTGAAAAGGTCATTATTTCTTGAATGGTAGTAGATCAATGTATTTATTTAACTGAAATCTTCTGGTAGCAGGTGAAATTTAAGTCTAAAAATGTTGTTCAAATACATTGAACTTTTGCATCATATCATTAGTTTCTCCTCATGTTGATTCAGTCTTCGTTTACACAGTAAAGTGGCTGTTTGCAGCCTCACTACGGATGTTATCATACCAATAAATGATTATTAGCGGCTATCAGGCCTATAGAATGGCTTCAGATTTTGCCAGTAGGCTCATTAGGTTGTTATCATTGAGTGAATTCTAATCCTAACCCTAAAGTAATTACTTTCCCCCACAGAAATGAATCTATCATATCCTGTCAACTGAGTTGTAGAATCCTCTTACTATACTATACTAATTCTCTGTGAAAAAGTGCAGATCATTTTTCTTCTTAAAAGATCCTCGTCAAACAGACATGTTTGTTTTTAAACCTAATCTGTCTAACGGACATATATATATATATATATATATATATATATATACACACACAAATCTGACTGAATCAGGAAAAAGAGAATGGAGACAGAGGACACTGAGTTTCTCATTGTGAAACAGAAAACTCAGTTTCCATGTTTTCAGGTTTCGAAAACTTAAGAATTTTCAGTAAACCTGGTTTTTGAAACAACTCTAATCTACAGGTCATGTCAGAACAGGAAGGCTGCAGCCAATCAGCTTTCAGCTTCATCAGTTTTTGTTTCCACCCAGAGGAGGAAGGAACATCAGGCTGTGATTCCTGGAGGAGGAAAGCTATTAATAATGTGACCGATACATGTGTATTGTCTTATTTAACTGGCTGTTAAATTATCGCACTGTTTCCCAGCTGTGAACATAACACCTCGCTCCATTAATGTTGCTCCGCTTTTCCTATTTAATTATTTGTTTATTTTGTTATTTATTTTGTGAGCACATCGGAGCGAGCTGGAGCAGAACGAGATGCTTTGCTGTGGACACAAGGGCGTTATAAAGATTTTCCTTATTTTTGCGTACCTGTTGTAACATAATAAATGAGCTGGAGTATGTGCAGGAGCTCGACACGCCGGTGAACATGAAAGCAATCCTTGCAAAGCTCCTGTATAATCTACGAGAGCATTGGAGAAGTAAGGCTTATGATAAAATGGAGGTAATTGGATGCCAGGTAGATGATATGGTTGCATTTTTATAGATCTTATCAGACCCTTTCATTGGAGACATACATGATTGTAGCCCTAGTACAGTATATACACATATACAATTAATATGAATTATTTTGATAAGCACAACTGAAAGCACAAAAATCAAGAAAAATTTGAACAAAAAATATCAATGGTGTACAACATATATCTAAAATTGGAGGATACAAAAATGCATGTTATAACGTACAAGAACTGCTATGAGAGGATAAGTCTAACTGATAAAACTGCTTGAAGAAAGAAAATTAAAATAAAGGCAAATCTTTCCTCTTTAATTTAAAAAAGATCTATCTACTTCAATAAATTGAATATTTTTAAAATGTATTACCAACATGAAATTAAATATGTTTGAAATGTATTAGCCTACCAACATGAATTTATTTGGTGTGGTATTTCAAACTGAGTTAACCAAGAAAAAGACTTCATTAATCCCAAAGAGAAATCAAATGGGCCATTTGATTAATAAAGTGAGTAATACGTGAGTGGGAGAGTGGTGGATTAGTGGTTAGGGCATAGGGCTTTAAATCCTGAGGTTGTGAGTTCAATCCCCCACTCTCACAGACTGCCACTCTTGCTCCCTGAGCCAGACCCTTAACCCCACAATGGCAGCCCACTGCTCCACAAGGCAGGGAAGTAATTGTGTTGCTCTGTACTCGTGACAGTGTAATGACAATAAAATTGATTTATTATTATTGAGGGTCAAAGTTACTAAATGTGGTCATTTCTAAACATTTAACATCAAATATGTCATAAATATTTTTTATTTCCTTTTGGAAGTTTATAAAGGTGAATTGGAAATTTAGAATTTGTGAATAAATTAAAAGAGTGATCTTAATTTATTGAATTTAAGGGCTGAGGTATTTTATTATATTATATCTAAGGTTATGCATATTAAGATTGGGTAGATAATTCCCTTACTAATTCCCTTACTAATTTTTAATGATAACTGACTTTTTGTTACAGATTACCTCCTGGATAATCAATATAACAGGAGCTTGGGAAGAAAATATTGATTTGATGTCAACTGAGAGAAAAAAACCATCTTTATGTAATTTGTGGATGATTTACAACAAATTTTATATTTATTAAGCTGGAATGTCACCACATTTGAGAATTTTTAATTAAAGCATGCAGCAATGAATTGTGGAAAATTCACTTCAGCGAAATCTGCTCTGATGCACTCAGTTTAAGTGTGAATCTAGGGTGGTGGAGTCGAGTATCAGAGTCCGGTCCAGAACCAGGATCTGATGTCAGAACCCCAGTCTGAGAGTTTTCCCAGAGATAAACAGAACATTACAGTCAGAGTTGGTCTGTTGCAGCAGAAAAAAGCAGCAGGTGGGATGGAAGTGTAGAGTGGGATTTATTTCATGGTAGGAACAACCTGCAGCTCCTCAGTATTCACTCACAGCCTGCTGTTTTACAGTCTAATGGGATCAGACTTGCTTCTAATAAATTTAATTATCTATAAATTTGAGCTCAGATATTTAATGGAACAAAGATGGTCTCACTAAGTTTCTTTTCAACAAACTTCTTCACTCTGCAGCTTGTTGTTTGCTGGACAAGGTCTGTGTAGAGGGGGGAAACTACTAGACTTCTTCTCCACTGTTGGTCCTCTGAGTTTGAAAGCTGCTGTTACTCTTAAAGTAGATTTAATGTTCTAGCTCACAGGGCAAAGATCAGCTGCTATAACTCTATATAACTTCAACATTTTCAATGATTAACCTGCAGCAGCTTGCTGCTGCCAGTCAGACCATCAAAGAAAGTTTTATGCTCTCTGGTCTCTGATGGTGGAACACCCAGAACTCTTTCACCACAGGGCAGAACGAAACACAAAAATATATTTCTTTTAAAGTTTATGCAACATTTCAGATGTTACTATTCTTGATTTATTGATGATAAAACAAAGTCAATATAAATGTCTTTAAGCCAGGCCTAGATTTCATGTCAGACAGGAAGAAAAAAATTATGTTAATGAGCTGATTTGACCTTAAAACACCTGCCAGAGGTGGATAGTAGTTACATTTACTCAGTTACATTTACTGCAGTAACTTTTAGAAAATGATTTACTTTTAGGAG